TCATATTAGGCTTTTGGTGCCATTAGGTTAGGCCTTGGTTATCATGCCAAGTGAGGAAAGGGTAAAATGGTCTTTTACCTTGGGAGTTGTACAAATGAATCAGATTCCTAGTTATGATTTATGGCCCAATTATTAATTGGGGCTTTATTTGATTGATTAGTGCGGTGATTATTTGGATCAGCAGTCCGAGTGTTTATCTGATTTTTAGCAGTTTGAGTTGAGTTTACTCACTAGATCCATGGGTCGAAGGCACCAATGTCGGCCTATTGCTTGTTGTGTAGAACGCTAGATGCCTTGTGAAAATTATGAAAGATCTAGTATGCCCCAAGAATCATATTAGAGTGATATTTCTAATTAACATATGATACTAAAGGATCACACTAACAACAACTTGATATAATTGATTATTTATTAGAAATTGATTTTAATAAATATTCAATGAACTCTTATAATTATTTTGGAATTTATTTATTTCTAGGAAATTATAATTTTCATTAGCAAGTAACATGTTATATAATTCATATGGTATGAATTAATAATTCATGCATGACATTTTGGACGAGATAAATTCTTTTGTCTTTTACCAAAAAGTTAAAGTCTATATAAAAGAATTTTGTCTTCATTTGCCTTTATAATTTTAAAATATGGCTAGACAAAAGAGAGTACGGAGTCTTCATTTGTTTAATGAAAAGAACACTCCTCTAAAAATACAAGCATGAACAATATGATTAAAATAGGGAGTGATGGTCTTTTGATTAATTTATTCAAAAGAAAGGCATGGCTTGAAGCATGGGAGCACATAGGCTTTCGAGGTATGGGTTCTTAAAGTGTTAAGAACTTATGGACCAAAGATTTTCTATATAAAGTGAGGCTTTCATTCTCTTGTCTTAACCTATGCAAAAAATTCAAAATTTGCTCTCTTCATCTTACTCTCTCTATAACACTCGTTTTCGAATCGCTTCATTATTCAAGGTCGTGGCCCGATCATTAGTTATCTTACGGCTTAGGGCCTTTGGGAAGAAGAAAATTAGCCCTTTTCGGATGTGGGTATTATAGATTAGGTGATCCGAGAGTTCAGTTGTGTTCCAGAGCCCAAGGGTATAACCATAATTTGGTAGTTCGGGCCTTTATGAATTTTGGGTTTTTGTTCAAGAAGTTTTAATGCAAGGGTGAGTTTATAGAAGTGTAGGACTTCTCATCTCCTTTCAGTGGATATAAAGTTCATCGAAAACGGACTTAGAACGAAGGAATTATGGTCAAATTAAGTTAAAGTTTTGTGAAGGTTCATCGAGTACGCGGGGCGTACCCGTCGTGTACGCAGGGCGTAGTGCATGGCCTATCGTGGGTTCTTTTATAGTAGGTCAGAGTACTAAAGGGTATGCGGGCATACTCCTATCAGTAAGAAACCCTAATTATAGGGTTTTACCCCTATTTAAGCCTCATTTATTTTTGAGCCTTGTTCCTTATCAGCCTACATGCCTCCTCAACCCTAATATTCGACCCTTAGCCACCATCTTGGAGTTCTTAAGCTCTTGTGAGTGATTTTGGAGTGTTCTTAACATTTTGAAGAGATTGAAGGTTGTTGAAGGATCATCACTTGGAGTGGGGCTTGTAGATCCAAAAGTTTCTCATCTTTTTCAACCTATTGAAGGTAAAAAGCTCTCATCTTGGCATCTATTTGGTTAGATCTTGTTTGGGGTGGTTTATGGCACATTTTGGTCCCTTTTGGTTTGTATTTATGAGATTGAGCTTTCCCCAAGAGTTTGGACACTAGATCTGGACCTTTTAGGTGTCCTTAATGCATAAAACTGCGATCTTGATAGTTGATATCAACCCATGCATGTGTATTAGCCTATTTGTTGAAGTGGTAAAGTAATAACTTGTATTTGGGACCCATTGAGCCATGCAAAAGCTCAAAGTTCACAAATTTATGGATTAATGCATGTTTTGGAACTAGATCTGGGCATTGGACGTTTTGGATTAAGGGATTAAGACATTTTTTAAGCTGGTTGTAGGTAGAGTGAGTACGCGGGGCATACCTCCTAGTACGTGGCACGTACTGAGCCAAGTTGTAGTATGTTGAGCGTACCAACTGAGTACGTGAGGCGTACTCAGTCTGTTGGGTTTTCTTGATTCGTTGACTTTTTGACCTCAGACCATTGACCAGAAGTTTGACCAGGGTTCACCATTGGATATTTTGGGCCTCTTAGGATATTGGGCCTTCTTAGGTTAGGCCCATGATGGGTTTGGGCCTGATTTGGATATTTGGCCTTATTGGGCCTTGTGGTGCCATCTAAGGGATTTGGGCTTGTGATGCTAGTGGATTGGTCCTTGGATTTTTGGCAAAATAAGGAAAGGGGTAAAAGGTTGGTATTTGGGCTAGAATTCTTGATTGGGTCGAGAATCAATTATTGATGGAATGTTATTTGATGATGTCAGTGCAAGGTCTCTGGTAGCAGTAGTTCTAGTGTTCGATTATCTTGGTTCGTGGTGAGTCTCCTCACTATATCTATGGGTCGAAGGCACCAATGTCGACCCATTGGCTTATGTATTGTTGAAAGACCAAGGGGTGGCCCTTGGCATTGAATGAATGACCCAGAGGTGGTTCCTGGAAAATCTATATGCAAGACCAGGGTTCTGACCCTGCAATTAAGTAGATTTTTAGTTGTAGATTGTATGCTTGTTGTCTTTATGATGCTTGCATGGAAGACCTGGAGGTGGCTCTTGGCACTTTTCTATAAGACCCAGGGTACTAGCCCCCGGCTTGGAAAGGAAAGACCATGATACGGCTCTTGGCACAATGGCAAGACTATGGTTATCACATAGCACTCTCTATTGTATGTATGATATGTAAGATATGTATGGTATGTGGTATCTTAGGAAACTCACTAAGCTTTGTGCTTACAGTTGCTGCTTATGGTTTCAGGTACTTCCAGTTCAAAAGGGAAGGGCCCGACTTGATCGCAGCACATACACCCATGTTTTCTGCAACTTAGTGTTTTTGGGATTGTACTCTGATAACTGTTTTATTATGATATACTTCTAAATAGTAAAAGAGAATTGGTGTTTTGATTATGTCAAAAATGAAATTTTTACCTTGTGGTTTTCAGGACGTTACACTCTCTAGTTTTTTTAAGAACACATGAAGATTGCTTGCTTCTTGATTCTCTCTTTATGTTCTTATTTTGATAAGAACATAAAGCTTAAGAGTTTTAGACAAAGGAACTACCATTCTACATCCAGTTGATTCATTGTTGGAGTCTCTAAAGTTCTGCATTCTTCATCAATTTCCAAGCCTCCCAAGAGGATCCAAATAACTACAAAGGTTATAGTTTTCTTCATCTTCTTCTTTGGTGCTTGTTTTCTTTCCAAACTTTGTAATATGATCCTTTATGGGTTTAAACTTGTTTATGTTATTCAAAAATGATCAAGTCTTCCGTTCCTAAATATTATGTTTTCGAAACTAGTTTTTTGAATAAAACTCCAACATATTATATGAAAGACCTAGATCTGGCCCCTGGCATTTGTATGAAAGACCAGGATCTGTCCCCTGGTAGTTATATGAAAGACTAGGATCTAGCCCCTGGTACTTGTATGCAAGACCGAGATTTGGCCCTCGGCAACAAATGATTATATTACTATGATTTGGCCCATGGCATTTAAATCTTTTATGTATGGTATGTGGTATTTTGGGGAACTCACGAAGCTTTGTGCTTATGTTTTTATGGTTATTGTTTTAGGTACTACTAGTTCGAAAGGGAAGGGTCCGAATTGATCGAATCGCATCCACCCATGTTTCTGCAACTTTATGATTTTGGGATTGTACTCTGATAACTATTTTTTCTCTGGTATACTTTTGAATGATTTAAAAGGATAAATGGTGTTTATGGGTGATTAAAAATGAACTTTTTTACCTTCTGATTTTTGGAATGTTACAGAAATCCATGTAAACATGTGAGAGATCCATGTAACATTTCACCTATCAAACAAAATCAAGGAAATAAAAATCATATAAGATATTTTTAGTTTGATGAAAACAAATTAAGTAATATAACCACAATTTAATGTGTATTTGAAAAAAAAACTAAAAAGTGTTTTTAGCAAAAATAACCATTTGGCCCCATTAACATTTTATGCTCTAAATTATGCTAAAAAAAGGTTTCATTTGTTTCCTCTCTTAAGAACCCTAATCACAATCTCCATGGCTCCTCCTTTTATTCTCTACACTTATGCTCCTACACCAAATGTGATCAAGGCAGTTGGAACTCTAAACACTCATGTCATCACCATGTCCAACAATGTGGCTTTTTCAACTGATATCCCTTAAAAGTTTCAAGACAATGGATTTGAAGATTTCTTGTTCTATCTAGCTGCATGTTCGCTTTGCTTTACTCTTGTTGATTTTGTTGATCATTTTATCCTACAACACGTCTGTGAGTTTTATTATACTACTACTTACTATGATACTAGAGTGATCCTTGGTATAATTACTTAATTAGATATGGAAATCATACTACTTCCATGATTGTGATTGATGTTCGAAGGGCCTTATGCCTTCCAATTCTACATGAGTATTTTCCTCATCCCATTATGGAGGAATGTCATGTTATTCTTAACAAGTTGGGTTATGATTTTTATAAACGAGGAAACTATAATGTTCTTCATATGCATCTTCCCACTGCTTGGAAGTTTCTCACTGGTGTCCTTAGGAAGTGTCTCGCTCACAAAACAAAGAGTCTTGATTAGTTGAATGATTTTGAGCAATGTATTTTTTTCTTAGTCGTCATGAACAAGCAACCGGACTTTGCTCAACTTATCTTTGACCACATTGCTAAAATAAGCAATCCTCTCATGTTCCTTATCCTTGATGGTTTACATTTATCCTTCAATATATTCGTACTTGGTATGATGGTGAACTAGTTGCATATTGAGCTCATTCTTTCACTTCTTCAAAACTGTTTAACCAGGATCCTCAAGAGGTTTGGAGCATCGCAAAGGGAATGCATAAGTGGATTGATGCCCCATATGAGTGTGTGAGATTAACATATATTTCTCTAGAAGTACCTTCTGAGAAAGAAGAAATAGAAGATGAGAACCAGGTGTCAGAATAACAAGAGAATGAAGATTAACAAGCTGACACTGACACATATGAAGACATTGACGCTGCCAACAAAAATTTTGATGCTAAGAGTGAGCATAATAGTGAAGATATTGAAATGATCTTATTGATCAGGGTTAAGAGGCTCAAGTTTTCTTGCAGAATTGAATAAGGTTGAATCTAGTCGTCTTAACATGTATATTTTTTTTTGAGTCTCCTCCATCCCTAGAAGAAGAAGAAGATATTTCTGAAACTCCTTCTCCACAACGCCAAACTTCTGTTGATGACGTTGATCATGTTTTCGAGTCTCCTCCGCATTCCAGAGGTAATACTCCTCATGCTCATACTCCTTCTTTAATATCTTCTCCCCAACATGTTCGAACTTCAATGTTCCGAACTCTTATTCAAACTACATAACGTTTTCCTGCTCTACAAAATCTTCCCACTCAAGCAACTTTTAAGGGGAGCAATAAAAACCAAGCTTACCTCTTGACTTGTTCAAATAATTCCAAGTGAAAGTCCTCTCCACTTTTGATTCTCTTATTCAACATGATTCAACGACTGGCTACAATAGAGAGTGATGTTGTTGATATCAATTACATTCTTTCAGACGTTGATACTGAAGTTAAGGATGATGGGTATCAATCACCACCAAATGATGACCAACAGCCACCTGATTTTACCGGGGCTCCTCCATCAGCGAGAATACCTCCATCAGTCATCCTCCATTGCCTTCGGGTCCTCCAACATTAAATCCACCACTCCATCTTTTCAACCTCCACAGAACCAAACTCTTGCACTCACCCTTTAGACTCCCTCTCAAGCTGATGATGCGAAAAAGGGGAGAATACTTATAGTGCTCACACTGATGTTGATACTGATGTAAATGTTGAGGACATTCGTGATCATTTGGATGTAAAGGATGAAGTCTATTTCATGGCATTGTCATTTATTGATGCAAAGCACTTCAGATAGTGTTTCCAGACTCTTATGTTGATGTTGTAGGGAAGCAATTCCCTTGGGAGGAGGAAAAAGTTCCTTAAGTGGAGCCCATTGACATTTAATCTGACAAAAGAAAATGTTCCGCTGAGTAGGAGATGAAAGGTCAAAGTTGCTTTTACTATTGGCTCTTCCAAAAGAAACACAAGGATCTTATAGTGATTCAAATGGAAAAGTATAGGGAGTGCCTATCGAAGAGGCTAGGGAGTTTTCCAGGCAACACAACATCCAGATTGTAAATCGGATATTTGCTAGAAAAGACTCCAAGAAGATCTAAGAAAAATTAACTACCACTGGTACATTGTCTAACCAAATTAAGTGCCTGAATAAGTTCAATTTGTTAATGTCTACAAAGAAAAAGGTTGGGGATAGCGCAATTATCAGAATTAAAAAGAGCAAGTTTAGAGATGCACTAAGCCAAAAGATGAAAAACTGCTTACAATGTACATCACAAGGCGTGGTGATAAGGGTCAACCTGCAGGTCAATATACTTAAGTGTTGTTTTTCAAGGATTTGGTAAAATTTGAGTACAGCGAGTGGCTACAACTTTTAGAGATGGTCAACAAGAAGAAAGGAAAATATGTTGAGGAACTAAGGCTTGTATTAAAGAGACTCATCACAAAGGTTAAAATCTTGACGTAGTACCAAAAACTTCCACTAAATGTTCCTCATTCTTAGTGTATGCTTCATTGCCAAGGAAAAGAACTTCTAACATCGTCAGATTTCATTTTCTATATGTCACCAAAGTTACTGATAACTCTTGTCTAGTGGGCGTTAATCTTGTTCAACACATGTTCATTCATCAACATGAGCATGGTATTTTCTATATGAATGAATCTCAACGTATGTGTTTCTAGCAGTCTATTTGTAACATCCCAAAATTCAAGACAAAAATTTCATTTTAGTTAAGTTATTATAAAACCAACAATATAAAAACATCCATAATAATATCTAATGTCAAAACCAAAGTGTCAGTAATCAAAACATATTAAAACAAATTATCATAAAATAATATTAGAGTGTAATCCCAAAGATCTCATGTGCGGAAAACATAGTGTGATGTGATGCTGGTGAGTGAGGAACACGGGTGAGGGGGTGACGGGTTTTAGCCCCACCTCCACCCATTCAAACATTTTCCATATTAACGCATCTAGTCCCTCCATCCCTCTTTCTTTTCAAATTAAGCCCATTATTTACCAACGGCCCATCCTCTTGTAAATTATTTTGCAATTATGGTCCAAATGTAACAAAATGGACCCGACTTCCTGAAGTTATAACTTTTAGCTCCCTAACGCCAACCCTGATAAGTTACGAAGGATTTAGGGCTAAATAAAATAAAATATAAAATATCTCGTGATCTTAGGGCTTGTTATTTATTTATTAATTTTATCTATTTATTTATTTACTAAGCGGGGTGTTACAACTCTCCCCCGCTAAACTTAGATTTTGTCCTCAAAATCATTCCTTACACGCCAAACCATTCTAGTAATATGGTCACCATCCCGGATACACTCTAGCCTTTCCGGGGTAGCCGTGACCAATCTTCGCAAAGCCTTAAAATCCACAGATTAAGGAATTCCTTGCAACAATCTCATTTACTTAACCTGAAATCTGAATTCTCGAGATGGTCTGACTCCCTGACAGACCACCCATGTTGAGCTTTACCAAGATTAATCATCCTCGAGTGACTGACCATTGTACACTTTCTGCCTTGATTATCTCGACGCTATCATTAGAAACAAAACCACTGACCATAGTCAACAATAGAGCATTTATTCTTGACAAAAGGCTCAAATAATCCTCCGAGTAGAAAATCCATCCCTGCAACGGTTAGACTCAGACGAGAGCTGCGTAACAGGATCAAATCGACTACTCTGAGATTATTTAATCCCACTGTGAGTGACTTAGCATAACCCAAGAAATCTTTTATTTTGTCTGTACTTGCAACCCAAACCACATACATTATTGCTGCCCAAACGCTGAAACTGTCCGAACATTGAATTACATGAAGCAACATGCTGCCACATGGCTGCTTTCCAAAATCTATCGAGACCTTCCGTGTCTCCAACCGATCGGGTCCATGTGTTGAATCCTGGCGTCATCAAATCCAAGGATAAAAGTGATTGCTACCTGACCAATGGTAGCCTTATATCACAAATGACCTTAAGCAGTCCATTGTTCCCTTGATCTCATAACTGTAGTGGCGCTCCTACAGTCTTATCATTGGCTCAATTAGATCTAATCCATCTGGGTAATTCCAAAATCCAATCCGTGGATTTCCATATCCTCACTTTTGCACCCAAATTGGTGGGTACTAGGGTTCCTTACACGTCCTAACAATGTGCTCATGCTATCTACCAACCTAGTGAATGCCACAGCTACACTCACAGACTTAAATCACTCTAGCACTATCTGTTAACCTTGTGAATGTTATGGTTACATCCGCAGACTTACAACACTTCTCACACTATCTGCTGCTAGTGAATGCTACGGCTACCCCTGTAGTCTTACAACACTTTCCATGCTAGTGACTGCTAGTGAATGCTATGGCTACCCTCGTACTCTTACAACACTTTCCATACCGGGTCGAACACGCACTCGACCTAACACTCAACTGAACTTGAATTCTAATTAGACCTCGAACTTGGTTCCCTAAACCTATTAACCGATGCCAAGGAAAAGCGTAAACCAAATGTTGGAACATTTTCTATACTCCCAACTCTCCAAATCCTCAACCTAGACGGCCACTCGACCGCCTTCCTTTCTAAAGAGGATGAGAAACTCATCCTAGTTTCACACCAATTTCTACTTCTGAATACTTGATCGATTCTCCCCCACTTATATTCAACTAAGTCCTTGCAGCACGTGAAAATTGAAGGATTCCCAATCCTTCTCACTTTTTATTATCTCACTAATGACAACCTGTGCTTACCAATGCTAGCTATCACTTACCAGTTAAAACCTAAAATCCCCCACCCTCTAAAATCTTGAAGAGTATTATTGAAAGCTAGTCCAGTCTAACACCTCAATCCATCTTCCATGCCGACAACTGGAGGCCATGATCTTCACTCTGGATGACGAATCCTCGTTCCCACTTCCAATCTTGAAACACCACTAAACTCCACACAACCCATGTGATAACTACAATTCTCTTGAATATTCGATAACCAAACAACCATGCATCTACACTCGAAACTGACTCCACTATCTTCATACTATAAGTCCTTCCCTAACAACGGTAGTGCCTTGAAATCTAAAGTTCATCTCTAGACAATTGTCAACCATACCTGAACCATGATAGATCCACTGAACTCTGACTTCACTAGAGAACTATCGCTCTAACCCGGACCAAATATCCTCTAAATAACACTCCTGCGCAGATCTCGACAAAAATTCGAAATGATAACGGTACATGCGGCACCCACTTTTCAAGATACGTCCCTCTGTAGGTGTGACAACCAGAAATTTTTATTTTTATGAATTCCGCATTTAAGCACTTCAAAAAATAGCCAAATTCATCTCAAAACATTTTTGGCTAGATTTAATCTCATTGGAATATTTTAAATAATACTCGTCAAGCGAACCAACAATAAGGAAGTATAACTTTAGAGTTTCCGTGTTTAACGTAAATCGCGAAACTCCAAAATTTTGGAGTTTACGGGAGAAAACTCGGAGTTTGGACTACAAACCCCAAAGACTATATATATGGGACTTAGCCATTTTCCTTCATTTCTCCCATTTCAAGTTAGAGAAAACCCAAATTCTCTCCCAAGGATCTTTAAGCTTTCGTCCCAACCTTCGCATAACGCAAGTACTTCTATCCTAGAGCATATTAAGGCTTGTTATACTTCATTGTATCAAGGAAACACCCAAGAAACACCAAGAACAAGGTGTTTATGGTCCAAGGTGTTCATGAACCGTAAACCCTAAAATGGGTGCCAAAGTGTGCCCTAGTTCCTTCTAAGCCTTGACAACTAGCATAGACCCCTTCCTTGATGAGATTAGCACTTGAAAATCATCTGACTCCCCATGTTCATATGAGTTTACGGTTTGGGGACCTCCTAAAACCGTAAACACCTTCCAAAGGGTGTTTTGATGCCCTTAACACCTTATATGGCTAATATATGTGACTAGAACCTTGCATGCTTAACCTAGAACCACCAAAACACAAGAGAAATGGACAAACATGGGTTTACGGCCGTAAACCCATGTGTTTACGACCGTAAACACCCAAGGGAGTGGTCAAAGGACCGTAAACTCCATAAAGTGTCCATTTTGAGCCCTAGTCACTTCCATGGCCCTTGATTCAAGTCTAGCATAATTCCTTGAGTGAGATAAGACCTTTAAACACCCCATGGCACCACTACCATGAGTTTACGGCCGTAAACTCATGGGGTTTATGGTCCAAAAGCCATAAACACCCCTAAGGACCATCATTTGAAGAGTAAACTCCAATGTGAGGCCATACTCTCTTCATATGCAACCCTTGGTACTCCTAGAACTTGTAGCAAAGTGTTTTCGTGCTTTAGGATGTCCTTGATTGCATAATTAGTTATTAAATGACCAATTGGATACTTAAATGTATCATTGCATGTTAAATAGGATTCGCGTGTGTGTTCAAGTCCTCACTTGACACTTAGCATACTATACCATCCGTTCATCCGAATCGCCCACGTTAGGTGAGTTCATACTCATGAATTAACCTTTTAAATGATTTTAACTTCTTTTATGGGGGGGGGGGGAATAGAAGTTGA